CCGCCCCAAACGCGCGGTAGGATACACTGGGGTGTGTTCTTGGAAACGGTCTGCTGGACACTTACACTGATGGCGCAGCTTCCCTCGATGGTCAGACTCCAAAGCCATAGGTGCGGAATGGTCCTGGAAATCGCAGGGAGGCAACGGCCGCCGAGGCTGAATACAAAACAGCTCAGAATCCTCCTTGGAGATGAAAGATGGTTCTTGGTGGGTATTCTAGCCTGATTTGTAAAGAGAAACTAGTTAACCATCCTTCCTCTGTGTCTAGTCTGCTGCCTGCCGCACAGGAAGGTCCTGGCTTTCAGGGTCCCTGATGCCACCTGAGCAGGTGCTCGGGCACTTCCGGTCCCGTGGAGGGCTGCTGAGTTTCCGAGGCTGAGCCTGTGTCCTGGCTTCAGCGCCAGAGAGCACCTTGCCAGCCCGCCGGCATTGTGGGCGTTACTGCAGAGGACAGGGCAGGAAAGTGCTGTGGAGTAAGCCAGAAAGAGAAAGAAAAATACCATATGAGGTTGCTCATATGTGGAATCTAAAAAAAAAAAAAAAAGAAGAAGAAGAACATAAATACCAAACAGAAACAGACTCATAGAGATAGAATATATACTTGTGGTTGCCAAGGGGGCGGGGGGGCGGTGGGAAGGGACAGACTGGGGTTTCAAAATTTGTAGATCTTGACAGGCATATATAGCATAGATAAACAAGATTATACTGTATAGTGCAGGGAAATATATGCAAGATCTTGTGGTAGCTCACAGCAAAATAAAAGTGACAATGAATATATGTATGTATGTTCATGTATAACTGAAAAATTGTGCTCTACACTGGAATTTGACACAATATTGTAAAATGACTAGAACTCAACAAAAAAATGGAAAAAATCCCAAACAATTAACAAAAGGACAATAAGAATCTACTGATTGATAATCTCTTTAATTGTGCAAGAACTAAATACTCCAATCATAGACATAGACTGGCTGAATGGATACAAAAGAAGGCCCATATATATATGCTGCCTACAAGAGGCTCAACTGAGATCTAAAGACATACATAGATTAAAAGTGAGGGGATTGAAAATGTTATTCCATGCAAATGGAAATAAAAACTAAGCCAGGGTAGCCATACTTATATCAGACAAAACAGAATTTAAAACAGAGACTGTAACAAGACACAAAGAATTACAAAGTGATGAAGGGATCCATCCAAAAAGAAGATATAACATTATAAGTATATGTGCACCCAACATAGGAGCACCTAAATACAGAAAGCAATTATTAACAGACGTGAAGAGAAAAATCGGTAGTAACACAATAATGGTAGGAGACTGTAACACCCCACTTCTATGAATGAATCGATCATCCAGGCAAAAAAATCCATGTGGAAACACTGGCCTTAATGACACTTTAGACCTGATGGACTTTACATATCTATGTTATAAATAACTGTATATATATTTACACACACACACACACACACACACACACACACACAACACTTCATCCCAAAGCAGCAGAATAGATATTCTTTCAAAGTGTGCATGGAACATTCCCAGGATACATTACAAGCTAGATCACAAAAAAAGTCTCAGCAAACTTAAGAAGATTGAAATCACATCAAGCAACTTTTCCCATCACAGTTCTTTGAGACTAGAAGTCATATACAAATAAACCCCTGCAAAACCCACAGACTGGTGGAGGCTAAACAACATGCTATTTAACAGCCAGTGGGTCACCGAAGAAATCAGAGTGGAAATCAAAAATACCTGGAGGTGAATGAAAATGAAAATGAAAACACAACCATCCAAAATCTATGGGACTGTAAGAGCAGACGCAGCTTTTGCAAGCATGTTCATAACAATGCCCTTCTAAGGTAGATGGGTTAATGAAGTTGCCATCTGCTGTAACTTGCAGTGTGGAGAGTGAAAGATTTCGAACCTTTGAATGACTTTTTTCTATTCTCTGATAGACATCTCTGGTGTATACTGGGCAAGACATAGATTGTCAGAAATCGTTAGAGTCTGGGGCACTTTTTTCTTACTGAGAAATAATTGACATACCATACCATCACCCTTCTGAAGTGTACACTTCAGAGTGGCTTTTAGGAACTGCACACATTTTTGTATCCATCACTGCTATCTAAGTCCAGAACATTTTCATCATTCTGATTTGACTCTATAAATTTTACAAAATCTTAGAGAACCAAAATCACAAAGATTTTCTCTTATGGTTTCTTCTATAAGCATTCTAGTTTTCATCCGTACATTTAAGCCTATCTTCATTTTTGAGGTGTGGGTTGAGATCTCTGGTTTTTGTTTCTCAGTGTTTTATACACACACACACACAGACAGACATACACACACATCACACACGCACACACATACACACACACACACGTCCAATTATTCTAGCATAATTGGATTGCTTTGCAACTTTTGTCAGGTCTATTCTGAACTTTCTGTTACGTTCATTTGGCCTATTTGACTGGCCCTTTGCTAATAACGCTAGGGACTGGCCAAGTATGGCTAATAGTCCAAACTCCTTCTGCCACCTATTTCTGTAAGCAAAGTTCATATTGGAACACAGCAATGCCTCTTCATTTACACGTTACCTATGCCTGTTTCTGCACTACAACAGCAGAGTTGAATAGTTGCAACAGAAGCTATATGACACACAAAATCTACCAAAACCACATGAAAAGATTGCATCCCCTGTTATATAGTAAAGTCTTGACATTAAATTGTGTGGGACCTTTGATACTGATACTCTCTTTTGTTTAGACTATTCTAGTTCTTTGACTTTACATAAAGACGTTACTCATAATACATTTGGGAATCAGACATTTATATTTAGAAAAAAATCCTGCTGGAATTTAAAAAATATACTGTGGTAAAATTCATACAAAATTAACCCGTTTAAAGTAAACACTTCAGTGGCATTTAGTTGTGCAACCAAGACATCTACCCATTTCCAAAACATTCCCATCACCTCAAATGGAAAATTCTTGCCCATTAAGCAGCTTCTCCCTGTCCCAAGCCCCTGACA